CTACTTCTACTACTTCTACTACTGCTACTGCTACTGCTACTAGTAGTAGTAGCAAGAGTACTACTGCTACTACTACTGCTGCTACTACTACCCTTACTCCTACCCCTATTCCTACTCCTAATCACTACTGCGACTGCTGCAGCTACTGCCACTGCTACCACTGCTACCACTGCTACCACTACCACCACCACCACCACCACCACCACCACCACCACGACTGCTGCTACTGTACCACTACGACTCCTCCCTCTCCTGCTGGCCATCTGGACTTTGAGTTGCCCGCACACATCGTCCTAGACTGAGGCTCTGCTGGCCAAGGGGCTCGACTCTGGGCGATTGGCCTGAGGTGTTGGGTCCTGAGCCGCCAACTTGGAGGAGCATGGGACTTAGTAACTAGGGTTATAAACGAGGTAACTATAATTATAACCCCAATTAGGGTACTTATAACCTTACTTACTAAGTCCCATGATCCTCCAAGACGTCTACCAGCCGCAGAGTGGAGGTGAAGGAAGTCAAAAGGCTCAGGTTTGCTGCGTTGGGTCGGCGCTTTTGGGTCGGTTTAGGGTTTAGGGTTTAGGGTTTAGGGTTTAGGGTTTAGGGTTTAGGGTTTAGGGTTTAGGGTTTACCGTGTGCAAATATGATGTAGCAAGAACGGAAGCATCGTGAAACATCAATAACCGTCACGGTAACATGATTCCATGGACCATGGAGAACGAATCGGAGACTCAACATACTAAAACCAAAAATCCAGAAAGAGTGCAACAAGTATAGTTTAAGCAAGCGCAAACCCATCTCTTCATGACAAGGTGGTGGTAGCAGTATTGTCGCCGTACTCGCTTGAGGCTGATGATGTTGGGTCTAGCGGTCTAGCGTCTAGCGGAGGAGCACAAGATGCTCTACCAGGAAGTGCAGGCAAAACTGACCGTGACAGAAAACGACAAAGACAGTTTCCGCCGCTGTAGGGCGACGAAGAGCGGTCAGTCCTACAAAAAAGAGGCAGGAAGCTGAGAAATCGGGATTTGAGATGAGGGGCCGGGGCATGGACAACGAATCAAGTCATCAGGCCTGGATCCAGTCACCTCACTACTTGGAGGATCATGGGACTTAGTAAGTAAGGTTATAAGTACCCTAATTGGGGGTTATAATTATAGTTACCTCATTTATAACCCTAGTTACTAAGTCCCATGATCCTCCAAGAGAAGCCCGTTTCAGCCTACCGACTCAAACCTCCGCTTCACTGTTCCGAGTTGGCATGGCGTTCATGGCGCCTCGGGGGTTTAGGGTTTAGGGTACTTGGAGGATCATGGGACTTAGTAACTAGGGTTTAGGGTTTAGGGAAACCCTAGACCCTAAATTCTTCAATTTCGTGGTGTGGGTGTAGGGTTTAGAGGGTCGGGGTTCAGGATTGCCGGTGTCACGGGGCTGAGGTTTAAGGTTCGGATGTGGGAGTTTGAGTTCAAGAGTTAAGGGGTTTGGGACGGTTTGGGTTTGGGTTTAGGGTTTAGGGTTTAGGGGATTTAGGAGTTTCGGTTCAAGAGTTAAGGGCTTTGGGTTTGATGGTCTAGAGTCTAGTGGACATTCTACCCTAAACCCTAAACCCTAAACCCTAAACCCTAAAGCCTAAACCCTAAACCCTAGGATCTACGGGCCATGGGCTTCGGGTTTAGTACCCTAAACCTTAATCCCTAGGATCTACGGGCCGTGGGCTTCGGGTTTAGAGGTTCGATCAGGCCACGGCTTTGGCTGCAGCAGCTGGAGATGCGGAATAGGCCGGCGCCGTCGGCTCCTGTGAGCGATGTAGTTTTCGGTTTAGGGTTTAGGGTTTAGGGTTTAGGGTTTAGGGTTTAGGGTCTAGGGTCTAGGGTCTAGGGTCTAGGGTTTAGGGTTTAGGGTTTAGGGTTTAGGGTTTTCGGACGGGCTGCATAAGAAGTACTCCTAAACCCATACCCCTAAACCCCAAACCGTGCAAGGTCTGAAAACAAGGGGTCTGAATGACTAGCGATAAGCTTGCTGCATGGCTTCAATTCGTGTCCCAATGTATTTCCAGGTTCGGCTTTCAGAGTTTCGGATAGTTGGCCTCAATATTCCCTAAAGCAGGGGCCTTAAAAATTAGACTAGGTTCTTGGGGGGCGCTCCTTGTTAGAATTATAGTATAATATACCCTAAACCCTATTCGAAGTATTAAAGCCCCTATCTTAGCCCTCCCGGCCATCCCTCCGATAATCGCAACATAGACACGAGCTACTTGGAGGATCATGGGACTTAGTGAGTAAGGTTTTAAGTACCCTAATTGGGGTTATAATTGTAGTTACCTTAATCAGAACATTAGTTACTAAGTCCCATGATCCTCTAAGTAGAGGATCCTGGGCGTTTGAGCTGTAGGAGCTGCAAAGTACGTCCCCAACCCAGTCCACGCACGCGCAGCTCTCAGATTCTCATGTCTTTCATGGCCTTTACTACGACTACTACTACTACTACTACTACTACTACCCTTCTCTGAGGGTTTAGGGTTTAGGGTTTTTACCACTAGTATTTACTACCCTTCTCTACCGTGGCGACGGCGAAGACTGCCACTATGACGACGGTGAGTCTGCCTACAACTGCCGTAAACTCTAAACCCTAAACCCTAAACCCTAAAACCCTAAACCCTAAACCCTAAAACCCTTAACCCTAAAACCCTAAACCCTAAAAAACCCTAAACCCCTGATGCCACTGCCACTACATCGTCCTGTGATGTTCCGCAGCCCATCGCGTGCAGGGGAGGTCAGCGCCAACTCAACCAGTTGGCTCTGATAACAAGTGGGGGGTTTCCGAAAATAGGGGACCCTAATATGGTACCCTAAGTAGTAGGATCCTTATTATAAGGACCCCAAAATCAGGTACCCTAATTTAGAGAACTACCCAAGTGTCCCTGTACTGCATTCGGGGCCGTCATAATTAGAGTAGGGCTTTGGGGCCAATGATACTATACTTATAATATAGTATGTGCGCAGCATCTTGGAGATGGGGAGTATTGACAACCCTACCGCTTTGCCGATGTTTCGCGTGAAACCCGGATGTCCACAGACTTTCAGGGTGGCTCTGTGTGCCGATACAAGGCTGAGGAGCCGATAAGCCGGATTCATCGGCCTGGACCGCGAGAACAACAACCCTAAACCCTAAACCCTAAACCCTAAACCCTAAACCCTAACTCAAGCTTTACATGGAAGGATCAAGTAAACCACGAGGCCTCATAAACACCCCTAAACCCTAAGCCCTCAACCCTCAACCCTCAACCCTAAACCGAAGCTGCAAGCCTAAAACCCTTGAAACACTCGAAGCTCCAAGGATACTTATCCAGAATCTACTCTCCTAAAACCCGTAAACTCCAGTTTCCTGTAGCCGTGAACCTTCAACCGACCCAGGCCCAATAGGTTTACAGTCTAGCTGACGGAACTGCGCATTCAGCGCTGATGAACCCTAAACCCTAAACCGTACATAAGGCTTGGGATTTTTGAAGGTATCCCGGGCCAAAGAATGTAGGGTTTAGGGCTTAGGGCTGAGGGGGGTTTGAGCTGAGGGGTCTATGTAGGCTCGGGGTCAAGAGCAGTGTTTCGCATATACAAACCGTCATAGCTTCGAGGGCGAGCATTCAAACAGTCGTTGGCAGTTCTTAAGCCACTCGAAACATGACAGCCCATTTCCAACCCCAAACCCTAACTCTAAACCCTAAACCCTAAACCCCAAACCCTAAACCCCAAACCCTGAACCCTGAACCGGAATAAAACCCTAGAGCTTCAGCACAAAACCGAAACTTTGCAAACCCTATGAAGACCCCAGCAAGCACTACCCATGAAGGCCCTGGTGAATCTCGAAACAGCTGTGAGGGTTGACTTAATACTTAGAATAATGACACTTGAGAAGAGGGAGCCTGACACGTGATGGGGAGGCGCTTGGAGAAATAATGCTACTTACTTCCAATCTGCTTAAGGCTTCCACATTCGGGGTGTATGC